GCCCGGCCTCAAGGACCTGATTCCTGCCATCTTTATCCACATAGCTCTTCTTCTTTTTTTTTTTTTACTGAGACTTAATTTTTAAAATTTTTTTAAACTTTAGATAATCAGGATTATCTTGGCTATCAAAAAAAATTAACACTCTCACTCTTTCGTGTATGCTGCAGTGGTGGTAAACCTACGGCAGGCGTTATTGTGTTTTTCTTTTAAGACAAAAGATATTAATGTACGAGTTGTTTTTCTAACTAAAACCTCAGCATTGAGGTTTAACTGCAGTGTTGGCACTTTTCAATAAATAAGTGAGTTTGGCGTTGTAGTTTGGCACTTGCTCTCTAAAAGGTTAGCCATCACTGGTGTGTGCAGTGAACTGCTACTAGATTGACACAAATGAACACCAGTTGTTTCTCTACCCTGATTCAAAAAATATGCTATAATTACAATGTTTAATTCTGAAGGAAATAAAACAATTTTTTCCTTTTTCTGGCCAGTGTTTTATTTTGAAAAATCTTAAAACAAGGAAAGATGAAATGCTTATACAATTGACATTATTGATCTCTTATCTAGATTCAGATGGAAATATTTCATCAAATGTCTTGCATAAAGACATTTTACATTATCATAATATTGGTACACATATGAGCATAACAAATAGTAATCTCAAATGTATATAAGTGTATGAATGTGAATGAATATACACACACACACACACACACACACACACATGAGCATATGCATATGTATAATCTAATATACATTTCTATATGCACATAGATTGTCAGACTCCATACCCACAGGTCTACAGTTCTGCCTCCACAGACTCAACCAACTATGGATCAAAAATAGGTTGTTTTTTTTTTAATTGCATCTGTAAAGAACACATATAGATTTTTTTCTTGTCATTATTCCTTAAATCATCAAGTGAAACAAAAACTTATATAGCATTTACACTGTATTTAGAGACATAAATAATCTAGAAATGATTCAAAGTATACAGGAGGATTTACGTGCTTTTTATAAAAATGCTATGCATTTTTTATAAGAAACTTGAACATCTTTAGGTTCTGGTATCCATAGTGGATTTTGGAATCAGACTCCTGAAAATTCCAGAGTATGATATATACTTCAAGCTTTTTCTTTATTCCTGGCACAAAAAAGATGGCAGAGGCCCACTTTGCACTGGCCCCTGGAACCAAACCCAGTTACTTCTCTGTATTATTTTCTTCTTAAATTTAAAAATGACATTATTGATGCTATAAGACCATTCCAGATTTTTTTTAAACCCACTGGAAGCAACAGTTATAATTACTACCGTGTTTGTTTTAACTACTAAATACTGAGAAGTCCCCCATAGTGCTTCAACCCATCTTTGCAGATGGAACAATGAATCATTTATTTACTTTACAAGCCAGAAAATAGAGGCAGTTAATGAAATAAAGGAACTTTCTTGAGGTCCCATAAGTGCGTCTGAATCTAGAGCCCATGATCTGTTTTTAGTTTTGCCAAAGTACTTCTCAGTGACTCAAAGAATTTGCCACATAGTCTGCATTGGTCTGAAATTCCCATCTGTATATCTGTACATCTGTATAGACAACGTCCAGCTATTTAAGTAGATGAGACAGTAAAAAGAATCAGTTTTAACTTTTAATACTAAATAATTTGTCTATAATAAATAGTTTTCTAAAAACACTAGCGACTCAGCATGTTTTCCTCTAATAATAAATATTTCTACTTTTAAAATATAATATTTCATAAATTTAAAAGTTTCCTTTCAGTAGGATTTAATCAGCATGTGATTTATATTGGAGTAAATATATACTAGCAAGAAAAGTATTTCATGTCTCATTTAAATTGAACACTTGGTACTTTTCACCATAATTAAACAGAAGCATTAAAAGATTATAGTATAAATTACCCTGCATGATTTTTAAAAAAGATTTCTAAAAATATAATTAATGACCACATTATCTTGATTAGACTATCATTTCTCAGCTATAAAAAGCCTCCTAATTCAGATGTCTATAATTAGAATTATTGGCTTAACCAACTAATGCCTGATACTGTGCAAACCATGACCACAGTAATTACCACTGTTCAATTTCTGCAAATAGAAACCAATATGACCATTTCTCATATACAGAAACCAAAACCCTTGCATGGCATTCACAGCATGACTTGTCACTGCATAGTTGCTTCTCGCATAGGACTGTGTCTTTTCTACCTCCACATACAATAGGTGCTTGCATTTAATTTCTGCTTTCAAAAACATTTATTGATGCTAACAGGTAGTTCAGTGGTAGCTTGCATATTTAGCAAGTGTGAGGCTCTGGATTAAATACCTAGCATGCTACAAAGGAGGCTCATTAAATGATTAATAGGCAGCAGTTCAAAATCTTTCATCTATTTTTAATCAGATTACTTAGAACAAATTACTTAGGACATTTCTGTTCTTTAATTGTAGAAGTTTCTTCCATATTTTGAATATTGAATTTATAAGACACATGGTTTGCAAGTTTTTCTCCTATTCTTTAGGTTATTTTTTCACTCTGTCGATATTTTTCTTTGGTGGGCACAGATTTTTTCTGTCTGATGGAGTCCTACTTGTCTACTCTTGCTTTTAATATTTGTACTTTAGGTGTCTTATACAAGAAATCATTGGTAAGGCCAACATCATGAAGGCTTTCTCACATGTTTAATACAATTTCGGGTTTACATTTAAGTTTTAAATCCATTTCGAGTAGATGTATATATGCTCTTGTGCACACACACGGACGCACACACTAAGGGTGCAATTTCACTCATTTGCATGAGGAGTTCCAGTTTTCCCCATACTATTGTTGAAGAGACTGTCATTTCCCTGTTGCCTACTGTATGCACTTACCACCCTCATCACACTTACCGTGTGCACAAGTATTTCTGGTCCCTCTCACTTGCTGCATTGGTATGCATGCCTGTTTTGGGGCCACCATAACACTGTTTTAATTACTGTTGCTTTATCATTATTTTCAAATCAGGAATACAACAGCTCATTCTATAAATATTGCCCTTCTACTCAGGATCATTTGGGGTTCCATATAAATTTTAGGATTACTTTTATTATCTCTAAAAAAATTGCTAGTATTTTAATAGGGATTTGCTGAATCTGATCACTGTGGGTTAAATCTGTATCTTAACCACATTAATTATTTCAACACATGAATACATCGTATTTATTGGTGTCTTCTTTAATTTCTTTCATCACTAGTTTGTACTTTTCAGGGCACAGGTATTTCACTTCCTTAGATTAAGTTTATTCTTCAGTATTTTGTTCTTTTTGATGCTACTATAGATGAGATTATATCTTGCAATTTACTGAACACATTTATTAATTTTAAATTGTGTGTGTGTGTGTGTGTGTGTATGTGTATGTTTATTCTTCAGGGGCTTTTTTATAAGACCATGTAATTATAGTTCTTCCTTTTGAATTTGGATGGCTTTTATGATATTTCTTACCTAACTTCTCTGGTTGGTTCCTATGATACTATGTTGGATAGAAGCAGCAAGTGAGACTCCTCCTGTTCTTTGTCTTGTTGCTGGGGAAACTGGATATCCACTCTCAAAAGAATAACGTTTAAGGAAAAGTCTTTCAGTTTTTCACCAGTAAATATGATGTAACCTATGAGGATCTCATACATGTTCTTTGTTTTGTTCAGATAAATTCTTCATACACCTACTTTGTTTTTGTATCATTGAGTTTTAAAGCTAAACTCTGCAAATGTACTGAAATGAAGATTCTTACCTTGTATGGAAGAAGCCATCCAGAAAATACCAGGCTATTAAATGGCATCATCGCATCCTGTACCAGAGTTGCTGCTCTATCACTCTGTACCTTTTTGACTCCAGATTTTAGCAAAATATTCATTGGATTTTGAGGTAGAATATGAAACAGTACTAAAAAATTCATATTATCTTATAGGCAATATATAGAAAAGATAATCATTATACATTGTAACAATTTTAAATTGTACAATTTCGGGGGTGCAATGTAATGTGTATCTTTTCACTGCAATGAGCCATAATCATGATCATAACAGATTGTCCAAGTCCTACACATCCTTCCAATGCCATTTAAGCCTGAAGATAGTCTTGGGGATCTCCAAATCTGTAAGATCACTCATTCCTCAACCTTACGTCAAAAATAGTGAGGAGAGTTTGATTTGAAGTGGCCATACCACCCGGAACTCGCCCGATCTCATCTCAAGTCGCTTCCAATGAAAGAGCAACAAATGAAAAGAGCTGTGGACACTGGCTTCTATGCCTTGCAATTTTTTTGGCTCCAGTAAATGAGGCTTATGCAGGCTAAGTACTTAGCAAATACTGTTTTTGTGAATGAATGAATGAAGGAATGTTTAAAAAGCAGTGGAGAATGAAGTGTAGCTCATTATTTTGTAATCAGCAGGCTCACTGTTAGAGCCCCTTGGACCCATCCTGACACTACTATGTCAGGAAGGAGAAAGTGTGAGTCCTGAGGGAAAGCTTCTCTACACAGTTCTGCTTTTTCTCCAAGAGAAGCCTGCAGTGTCCCAACTATTTAATTCATTTCATGTTTCATTAAACAGAGACTTCCATATGTCCAATGCTTGTTCTTTGGGTAGAAAATTTTGACTACCCAAACAAATCTTTTTCTCAATACTCTTTTAAGTATATAAAAAAAGAAAAGAATATTGTTTGCACTGTTTTTTCTTCTTGGGAAACTAGACTTCATTAGTTGTCTTTGTTAATAACTATAGGGACTATAATTTGTTAAAATGATCGCATACATTTGTGCACACAGAATACATACAAAGCATCTATTTATTTAAACTTGAAATAGCTGCCTATGTGTCAAAATGTGCTAGAAAACCAAATTAAATTGGCAGATTTATTGTACTGAACTTTCTTTTTATTACAATAAAAATTATATTAAATAAATATCTGAACTTTAAAATCATTGTATTCTACATTTTGTGTGTAAGAGTCCTAAAAGTGAATAATGATCCATTGTAAGCCATCCTAAAACTATACCTCCAGGATCCTTTTAGGACATCTCTAATACTTTCATGCTGTTTTCACTAAAAATGGCCAATGACAACTATATCTTGAAAAGAATAACAGTTGGGAGTTAAATCCCTCATGACCTAGACTCCTCCTTCGGAATTAAGGTCTAAGTTACATTAGGAATCATATGCTTTGACCTTAAGTGGACAGAACAGAATCTTGATGGATGAGTGGTGAAGATGAGAAAAAAATCAGTTATAGCCTTGGTGCAAACCATGGGGAGAGGGATATTTAGAACCCATCCCACAAACCTTCCAACCACCATCCTGCAGAAACCAAGGCATTATGCAGAGTGTCTTAGCAGAGACAGGCTTGGCCTATGGAAGACATTCATTGCTCTTCCTAGATCTCCTTGCATCCTCCTGATACTCTTCTTTGGATAATTTCCTCAAGAGTTCCTGAGTCCATTTTCCTGCAGACATCTCAAGGCGCAGCAAGTACTGGGGAGTTCTCAGCCCATTGAAAGCCCAGCTTCTCATCTTCGGGGGAGGCAAACGGAACCTCAGCCTACACATGAGAGACTCCATGAAGAACAAGCTGATCCTATTCTCCACAACTAAAACTGATTAGCTTTATCCAAAGCTCTGTACTGCATATGGACTTCTCCTGTGAACACTTCCCTAAAAACCTTTGTTACCGATATTTGTGTTAAAATCTGCTTCTGAGAAATCCCACTGTAGCCTTCTTAAGTCTCACTTTCAGACATCTCACTGTCAGTCCCTGAATTAGCCTTTTTTTTGTTAATATAAGGAAACAGCTAAGACAAGCTAAAAAAGAAAAACGTTTATACAGCTCACAATTCTAAAGGATCAAATATAAGGCACCCGCATCAGTTTAACTCTGGTGAGAGTCTAGCAGCCAAAAGTGTCACAATAGCAAAAGCACATATGGAAGCAAGAAATCCCATATAAAAAGAAGAAACCAGGAAAAGCTAAGGTCCCACACACCATTCTGAAGTCAGTCTACCCACCGTGATCTAAGGACCTCCCACTAGGCTCTGCCTGCTAAAGCCCATCAATAAGGATCAAACTTCCCACACATAAGCCTTTGAGGGCCACATTCAACCCATATCCAATGCACAGCAAGCTACATTCTTTAATCTACATGACAAAGAAATTGATAGAACCCCTTAATGACTTTTAGTGAATGACAATATTGCTTTCCAGGAAGCAGCCCATAGAGTTTCTCCTTTGATGTATTTTACTGATGTATTTTATGACATATTTTACTCAGGAAATATATACATGTGTTTGCCCATATTTGAATTTGTTCAGAGAAAATTAGATATAATCTTTAAATAATCTAGAATATTAACAGGTTTTCTTAAGAAGTGGATCTCCTTTTTGCATTGACTTCATACTTATGTGACTGTAGCCCCAGTAAAGGGGTGTTTTTCCAATCTTTTATTTTCTGCATGAGCTCCTGATATCAGTCCCACTGTGCCGTTGTGCTGTTGAGTTTCAGAAGCTCAGAGCTTGCACTTGGAAAAAATGTACTTTCCTTCTTGGCTCAGACAGGGGTGACAGCAAAGTTGTCCTCACAGGTTCTTGTCTGGTTCCCTCCGAAGAGTGTGTCCACTCAGAAGATGGGGTGAGCTGTGTAGGTGGCCTGTCTAAACTCATCAAAGCAGCAAGCTCTGTACACACACCTGGCCCAGGCAGGTCAACTGGTATAGAACGAGATGAACACAGTTTTTAGCATTAAGGGAGGTGTTTGGAAGGTCATTCAAGCCCTCTTTGCCCAGTTCCTACTTTCTAAGGAGAATTGAGGCTGCTTGAGGTCACAGTTTTGATGCAATGTCTGAAATCAGGGTAACCAGATTCTCAGTCTACCCTGCTTTATGAAGGACCAGATTTTGACTCTTTCCATTGAATTAGGGAATTCAATTTTCTTCCTGACAGCAGTGGTTTGTACACATGGAGACCTTCTAAGTGAGTCACAAGCTTGGCTTTTCAGACAGCAAATACTTACAGTAAGTGAAGTTAGAAATGTCCATTTTGTACCCTGTTGGCCAAGAAATTACCTACTATACAAAATTCTCATCAGCCCTGACATTGCTACCTGATGTTACAAAATGGAAATGCTTCCAAGGCACTATAATTACATGGCCAACCATATGCTTGTGACTTATACTAACAGAAACATTAAAATATTTCTGAATTTTTAGAAACTGAGTTTTTAGAAAAATATGAATATATAAATGAGTTATTTTTATTATTTTAATTTCTTTTTTCTCTCATATTGAGGATATTATTTTAATTTCTAATGCTTTCTTGACTTTGAGCAATTATTTTATTAGTAACAGTTATGTGCCATAGCAGTAATAAAAACAAATAATAGTTTTTGAATTTTTAATGTAAATGAATTGAGTTGGAAGTGAAATATGAAATTTGGATTTCATCAGAATTTTAATTAAACTTACTCAGGGCTTGGAAAAGAAAATTAATTGTATTTTTGTTCATTATTGTCAATTTGACTGGGTCATAAGGTGTGTGGATATTTGGTCAAATGCTATTCTGGGTGTTTCTCTGAGTGTCTTTAAGTAATTTAAGTATAAATTGATGGCCTAAGTAAAGCAGAATGACCTCCTAATATGGGTAAATTCCATTTGGTAAATTGAATAGATAAATATAATGAGAGGCTGGCCCTGCTCAAAGAAGGGGCAAGTCCTTCTTCCTGACTGCACAAACTAGAGCAAGTTCTCTCTTGCCATCAGTGTAGAGGTAACATAAGCACTTTTCCTAACTCTCAGTCTTTCAGATTTTAGATCTTAGATCTTGTTTGGCTCTATAATTGTATGAGCCAATCCCTTCTAATAAGTCTTTTCATGTATATACACACATATATATTATTTGTGTTATTTCTCTGTAGAACCCTGACTCATACAAGCAACTACAATGTGCTAGAAAGTATTACAAATTTTACCCAAAAAAGTGATAAGATATATTTTATCCCCCATATTTTGCAAATGAGGAAATAGAAGCAATATAAGTTTTAACCACTGAACCAGAGAATAGGCTAGTAAAGAATATTTCCTGGGTTCAAACCCAGGTCTGTCAGCTATAAAGGTTGCATTCGTCATTCCACCCTGCCTAGCCAAAGTATCACTACTTTCTTTTCATCATTGCATAGGTATTTCTAAAATCTCCTTGTCCAGGGGAAAAATGAGAATCAAGACCTATTATGTAAAGGTACAGAATCCCAATGATGAATGTAATTGTATTGTATACCTAGATTGTACCAATAAACTCAATAAAAAGAAAAAAAATCATTAAAAAATCATAAAATCTCCTTGTCCATTTGTCTACTTTGGTAGGAGAGTAGAATGGCCAGAATTAAAAAGTTTAATATGCTGGCATTATACTGTGCCTGTTGAGTTTGATTCTTTTTTTTTTTTGTACAAGTCTATATATGTACAGTTTTTGGTAGGATAAAGAATTGCCCTTACTCTATACTGACCATAAAATAGGTCTTTGAATATTGCTCCCCTATGCTGATTGGTTATGGACCATGCGAGATTGATCCATGAGTTGATGCATTTGTGTCAATTAACAACATGAATAATTTTAAGCATCCAGACCTTAGTCTTCTCTTGCTCATAGCTCCTTGGCACCTCCATAGAGCCAAAGCAAGATTTCCATTTGAAAATCATAAGCTTTGCAATGTACTTCATTGCTGTGTGTTTCAGTGCTAGGGTGTTTTGCCAGATCCAAAATCTCATTGAGTTCAATTGTACACAGATATTAATGGTGAGCTCCAACCACTATGAAAGCAACAAAAAGGCAGATTGCTTCATTGTGTAGTGGCTTCATTCTGAAGAATTCTCTTTGGAGTCAAGTAGATGGATGCCTGCAATAGATACGAAGTGCAGAGTGCAATTGAGAATGGTAACATGTGTCATTCTTAAATACTTTCAACTTGGCTACTTTTAAACCAAATGCCTTGAAATGTGCCAAAGATTTTTATGCTAATTAAAAATAAAGGCCAAAGGGGAGAAAATTAGAACCAAGACCTGTCATGTAAAGGTACAAGATCCCAATGATGAATGTAACTGTACTGTGTATCTAAAATGTACCAACAAACTCAATGAGAGAAAAATAAATCTCTGATACCAAAATAATAATAATAATAATAATAAAGCCCAGGGAAAGTTGGATTTTTAAAAAACTAACAAATTTTAGCTATTTAAACATGATTAAAGATTTTGCTCAATCACAAAACCATATTTTTCCATCCTTATGAATGCCCAATCCATTTCTCCATGCTTAAACATTTTTGTACATAAATACATATGTAAATAGACTGTATTTGTGTACATGTATGAATTAATGGAAGTATCATGTGTGTTTTGTGTTTACATGTGTATATCAAGCATGAGACTGCTCATTCTGAGGCCAATTTTGAATGGAAATTTCTATAAACCTTATAAGTAGCTATATAGGTGCCACAGCTAGGACATTTCTATTTCACTACCAAAATACACCAATTACCAAAATTACAGTAATCCTGTTCCATTAAAGGTATCTATAATACTTGGAACTAAGAAATTTTAACCTTTGCCTATAAGTGATTTTTTCAAGTACACTAAATTATCTTTGGCCAACTTGTTAAACCAATATCTTCATGACAACACACACACACACACACTCACACACACACTTTCATTCACACAACTTGGTTCAGGATAAAAAGAGAGAATATGTCTATCACTTTAGAAAGTAGTACTGAAAGTGCCAGTTAGAATATCCAAAATGTGCAAATCAAAAACACAACTTGGAGTTCTAACATATGTACAAGAGACTGCATTGTAATATGCCTGGCCAGGCAAGCCCACATATTAGGAATTTATTCTATGATTTTTAAGGATGGGAACAACTGTGTAGGGTGACAGACAAAGTTGATGATCTCATAAGTGGAGGCTCAAGACAGAGAAAGTTTGGTATATCCACTGGCCAGGGAGGAAACCACCCTATGAGAATTACATGCCAATAAGTAGGATGGGTGTGTGTTAGTCACTTTTCCATCTCTGTAACCAAATACCACAGAGAAACAACTTAAAGGAGCAAAGATTTGTTTTGGCTCACACTTTCACAGGTTTTGCTCCATTATCAGCTGAATCCAGTTGAGAAACATCATGACAGAAGGGTGGTAGAGGAGAGCTGCTCAGTTAATGACAGCTGGGAAGCAGAGTGAGAAAGAGCCAGTGACAAACTATAATCATCAAAGCAATAGCCCCAGTGACTGTATTTGTCAATTTGTATTCAAATAAACAAAAAACCTTTATTCACTTCAGGGCTAATATTTTTTTTTAATTTAAAGCAACTGAATCAGAACATAGGCAATATCCTCCATTCCAACTTGTAGTAATCCTAGATACATGAAACTTGCTAACTAGTACGTACATTTGTATTGTGAAGCGTCACTATAAAACTGTATTTTCCTCAGAGAAGGGTACCCGCAACTTTGCTCTAGGAGGAAGGGCATTGCAGTATTTTCTTGATAGGTGAACATTTTCAAGAGGGAGCAAAATACTGAAGGCTGTCTTTTTTCTTGCATACATATTATGAGGCCCTGTTGAGGCCTCTGTCTCTCTCTCTCTCTCTCTCCCTCCTTCCCTCCCTCCCCAAGATGGTTCTGTGTATATATTTTTGAACCAAGTCACATACTTATCTCACAAATGATAAATCACATGCAGTTTGCAAAATGAAAACTGCCCAATGTATCTACCCTACCTGTGAAAACATATCTTTTATATTAAATTCATATTCTTATCCCCTGATATTTACATTTTCTACTGTAGGACATTTATTTCAACTTTTGGCTAAGGAGCATATTTTTAGTTAAGTTTGTTGTTTTTACCTTACTGGGTTTTCTTTTCCAAACAGAAAAACTTGAGACCTGTCCATCAAACATTTTAAAATTCAACAAAATCTTGACATTAAAAAGTCTTCCATAAGTTTTCAGAGTGAAAAATGTGATTGAATATATCAAGCCAAAGCCAAGATTTCAACTTGAGTCTTCACCATTCTCTTGTGCTCCAAGAGTATTAGGAAAAACACGATAGGCAATTTGTAAAACTAAATGACATGTTTTTTTGGAAGAGAATTCCTTATATAAATTAGATTATTGAGTATTTCACTGACACAGGAGCCAATAGACTATGGAATTTAATAGATGACATCTGACTTAAATCCAGAAAAATCTGTTATCGGAAATAGCACAAGAGCCTCCTCCCTTCAGCATGCAGCGTGGCCTCACCTAGAAAAGTGATGACATGAACATAGATGTGAGTTTCAAAAACACTTTTGCAGGGTGAGTGATATTTTTCAATATTTGAATCACTGACACTAAACTCCAAGTAGATTAAAGATCTAAATATTAAAACAGAAATACTAAACTTGCTGGAAGATAAGTTAGGCAGAACTCTTGAAAACATTGGCATAACAAAAGACTTTATGAACAAATCCTCGGTGGCACAGGAACTAGCCCAAAGAATCAACAAATGGGATCTCATCTTATTAAAAAGTTTCTGCACTGCAAGAGAAAACACCAACAGAGCTGAGAGACAGTCTACAATGTGGGAAAAAAATTTTACCTGCTCCTCAGACAAAGGACTATTATCTAGAATATACAAAGAACTAAAAAAATCAGCCCCCCCAAATATAGAGACCTAATTCAAAAATGGACATCTGAAATGAACAGGCATTTCTCAGACAAAGAAGTAAAAGCAGCAAGTAAATATATGACAAAATGTTCCACATCACTGGTCACTCAAGCGATGCAGATGAAAACAACACTGAGATTCCACCTCACCCCACAAAGAATAGCTGCTATCAAGAAATCAACCAATAACAAATGTTGGCAGGATGTGGGGAGAAAGAAACGCTTCTCCATTGTTGGTGGGAGTGCAGACTGGTGCAACTACTTTGGAAATCAATATGAAGATACTTCAATGGACTAGAGGTTCCATTTGACCCAGCCATCCCTCTTCTGGGTATCTTTCCAAAAGAATTAAAAGAATCATATCACAGTGATATAAGCACACCCATGTTTATAGTGGCACAGTTAGTAATAGCTAAAACTTGGAAACAGCCCATTTGCCCATCAGTTGGAGACTGGATAAAGAAGATGTGATTTTTCTATAAAATGGAGTACTGTTCAGCCATAAAGAATGAGAAATTAGGTCTCTCCAGCCACCTGCTCGGGCCCACCCGGCAGGTCAATGATCTCCCCTACTGCATGCCAGCAACTCCAGCAAGGAAGGTAGCTGTGCAGGCGCCCTTGAAACCCCCCCCCCACATTCTCAAGCCTCCTGATTGGGCCAGTCCTTGGCCCCACTCCGCAGAGGCATAGGTGGTCATGAAGGGTATTTTTCTGAGCTCCCAACTTTGAACATCTTTAAAGAAAGGGCAGGGGAAACCTGTAGTAGAACTGAGTGGAGTTCAACCCTACAGGTTGGGAAACTCAATTTAGGCCTTGTGGACAGAGGTCAGTCTGAGTCGCGGGGACTTGCCATTGGCTAGCTGAGATCAGGGGATTCGGTTCTGCACATGGCTGTACACATGGTATAATATGACAACAGAGACATAGTCTGAAAGAGGCCCTTCAAATTCTTTTTTTTTTTCTTCTTTGCCTCATTCCACCCCAAAATTTCTTTCTTTTTTCTGTCCTCTCTTCCAACTCAGTCTCTTGCTCTACCATATTACCCCTTATCTCCCCTTTTATTCTTGCTCCTGCCCTAACTCAGACTTCTTCTTTTATTATTTTTTTTTTTTCTTTATGTTCTTTTCTCCTGTCATTTTACCTCACTCATGGCTCCATAGCTTCAAGGGAAGGCACGCCCCTGTTATGTTAAGGGGATATATTCTTCTCCTTATTCCTGCACTCTGTCTATCCTCTTTGAAGTTAATAGTTTTGTAAAGATAGTATGGTCATTCTACGTCCTCTGGCTTCACTTCAGATCTTCTCCAATTCTTTCACTTATCTACTCCTCTCATCCTAAATCAGTCTAACACCCCATCCTAAATGGTAAAGATGCTATATTGAAAAGCATATTCACTGCAAACATGTTTTGGACTGCTTCTTGATATTAATTTAAGTCACATGGTTTAAAGGTGATAGATTAATGACTACTACAACTGGTCAATTTGCAAGCTGTGCTTCATCCTATTGGGCTGCTGAATGTATCAATTGGGATAAAGGATTCTGATTGATTTAATGAGTTGTTTTTTCTGATATTATGAAAATGAAGATGTCTATGAATCATTACAGACTCAAAAGCTAAAACGCAACTATATCAGGAAGATTTAAGTAATAACCCATAAATTAAACCAAGGACAACCCAACAACAAAAATAAATGAGAAGAAACTTAAGCAAGACACAAACACAGATTTCCAGTTCACCATAGCAAACAGTAGGGCAAATGAGGATGAAAATTATGATAGTGAACCAGCAGGACACCCTGGACCCATAGCACAGGAGGTAGCAAAACAGATCAATCAGGCCCTAGAAAAATTCAAATCAGAAATAATATCCCAGTTAACCAGAGAGATGGTGAGCAAAATGGAAGTCATGATTTGAGACTCTAGAACAGAAACTGACAAAAAAAATAGATGAGCACAAGACTATGATAGAAGCCATGAAGACACAGCATAAAAAAAAATAGAAATAATGAATGCCCAAAAAAGGAAAGAAATGGAATCCATAAAACAGATTCAAACAGATACCCAGGAGATTAAAAACTCTATTGAAATTGTACAAAACAGAATAAAATATTGCAAAGATAGAATTTCAGAAATAGAAGATAGGATTGCAGTCAGTGATGGTAAAAAAAGAGGTTTCTCAGCAA